TTTCACATGTGTATTATGGGCAATGACGAGCTTGCAACCTATTTTGAAAAATTACGGTGGGTGAACTTTCAAAAGTCAATGAGACATGAGGGCTCCAATGAAAGAGCTAGTGATAACGTACGTCGGGGTGGATGTGCTTTTCGTTTAAACAAAAAATGAATTTTTAACGATTTAAAAAAAAAAACGTCCACAGGCTAACACGTTAGGCTGCTGACCCTGACCATGCTCTGACGATAGGGGGCGTTGTGAAATGAGACTAAACGGACCAATATGAGTGCAAAAAAATAATGTACAGCAAATACTGACTAAAGACTGCAACACACTATTAAGCTTTGAAGGGCCCAATAGTGCAGCGTTTAGACAAATAAAAATGCAAACATCTCCTGGCTCGGGAGCTATGTTCCCTCGCATAAAATCCTTCAAAATGTACTAGTAAATATTATAGAAAAGTGAAGTGTCAAAAAAGTACATTGTTTGTTTTTATACTATAGTTTTGCTAAGGAATATCAGTTTGTAATTCAACAAAACTTCAAACCTGTGAGGGGGTACTCACCTTAGTCACCTTCACCCTCTCATTCACTATGCTCAATCATTAGGGCTTGGGGCAGTCCCCGCTCCCCCTCCCGATACAATTCTAACGTGATTTATTTCTAATTCGATATCAGTGACTAATTTACAAATGTTGCTGAAGTGGCATGGTTTTCCCTGAGCTTCCAGGGGCTCTGTCCCCTGTACCCCACCAAGGGCCCTAAGGTGGGCCACTGAATGCTCAGCTGACCATAAATAAATGCCTAAAACACCTGAGCTTCCGGGGGCTCCGCCCCTGGACCACACCAGGGCCCTAAGCGGGCCACTGGATGCTCATCTGACCATATTCAAAAGCCTAAAACCCTGAGCTTCCGGGGGCTCCGCCCCTAAACCCTACCAAGGGCCTAGGGCGGCCCCTGGATGCTCACCTGATCGTAATTTAATGCCTAAAACCGCTGGGCTTCTCCCCCTGGACCCCACTCCGATTAGTGACCTGCTTGCAAGTGTCACAAATAAGGTATCAAAATATGCTCATCTGACCCTTATTAAATGCCTAAAAACTCTGAGCTTCATGGGGCTCCGCCCCTTGATCCCCGCCGTGAATTTGCCCCTGGACCCCACGCCAATTTACGCCCACTTGCTTTGCTATATATGATCGCAAATACTTTAGCCCCCCCCTCCCACTTTGAAAAACGTTCCGCGGGACCTTCATGTAAGAGCGGTCATGATGCGGATTTTTTTCTCCCCCCCCCAAAAAAAAACAAACAAAAAACAAAAAACAAACATGTTTTTGCTTATTACGTCACTCCTTCCTCGTTCCTCGCATCTCGTCCCCCCCCCCCCCCCCCCCCCCCCCCCATGAAGAGAAATCGCCGCCCCTGGCGATGGTATATGGTTTAGAAAGTTTGAATGTGCAGAGAGTAGAAGAAGGTATCTTGAGGAGAAGAAAAAAAAGAGCATTGAGGCGAAAGATGCGTAGTATGAAACTGTTGTCTGATAAAAAGAACATGAGTGAACTCAAGGAAAGATTAGGTCATTTACCTGGTTTTCGATTTTATTTCTTTATAGATTTTATTTTTTTAATACTGGCATTTTTGTTCCGCCTTCTCGCTTGTCCCCCATTTCCCTTGATTTATCCCTAATATAAAGAGAGTGTATTCTTTCTAAATTATTTTTCTTCAAACATCATGGAATTGGAACGTCTCAACATTTTCTATAGCCTCGTTCGGACGGAGGCAATTTACCCCGGGTTAGAGATCGTGTTAAGAGCTATTCGGGGTGAATATGGTGAGGTAGGTGTAAAGTTGGAGTAGTGACCGTCTGAACGATGGTCGCGTTAGCTACGCCTACATTTACCCCGACCGTTTTAATCCTGGATTTAGCCAGGAGTAACTCGCTAACTTACACTCGGGGGTTTATGCAGTGGCGGATCCAGGGGGGGGGGGGCCGGGGGGCCCGGCCCCCCCCCCCCCTTGAGAAAAAAAATCATGTAAAATTACGCGATTTTTACCTTTTTGGGGGGTTGGGCCCCCCCCCCCCCCCCTGGCGCTCAAGGGGGGGGGGGGTGTAAATTTCAAAATTTTCGAGGACCAAAAAAAGAAAAGAAATGTGCTCACTACCCCCCCCCCCCCCCCCATGCAGTGCAGTCTCTGCAGCCTCCGCACGGAAATCATACGGAGCCTGTGCAGTTTCCGTACAAAGGTTGCACGGAGAAGGCGTGGTGACTGTGCAGGAGCCGTGCCGTTTTAAAGCGTTTTTTTCGCCTCCATATTCACCGAAAAAAATGATCGTGCGTTTGATGCACACTGTAGGGCGTGGAATCATCACAAAGAAAGAATTGTGGTAGTGATAACAATTATGTTAATAATACTAATACTAATAATAATAATAATACAAATATTAATATTAATATAAATAGTTTTAAATAGTTATAGTAATAACATTACTAATATAAATATATGAATTTTAATTAGAATGGGAGTATATGTGTGGTTGTGTGTGTGTTTGAGGATAGTTGTTGGTGGAGACTATCATAACAAAGAAAATCTTTAGCAAAGTCAGAATTTGAATTTGAATTAAATTAAAATAAACTCCAATCAACTGAACTAGACTTAAGTTCTGAGCAAAACAACTTCATAATAATAACTTAACCACATCCAAACAATCACAACTTGTAAAAATGCCACGATGCTACTCTCTAATAAAAGATTATTCTACTAAAATCGTATTTCCAAAAGACTAATTTGTTAATCTTTAGTCAAACAGGAAAAAGAGGCAGAAGGAGAGAGAGGGAGAGAAAGAGAAAAAAAAAGAGAGAGAAAAGCAAACAGCTCTATATCCTGTATCCTTGCCGATGAAAATACTGATTTTTCGGGGGTTTTAATAATCAAAAACAAAGTTTACGAGACAAAAATGACAAATAAGATTTCCACTATCACCAAGTTGATATTTTGTTTATTGTCAGTGATAATAAGCAATAAAGAAAGCAAAACATTCCAAGTGGGCCTCATTCCTTTGTATTCAGGGGGAGGTTGGTTGTAGAGATCATTTGTACTTCAGTAATATTTGGGAGAGGTATAGTATTTCTGTAAAGCGCTTAGAGACATTTCTATTAAACGCTATTTAAAAGCGGAATATTATGTATTATTATTATACAGCCTCACGACATGTACCAGCATTAGAAAAGTTTCGAAATTTGCTTTGTAAAAGTAGTTCTTGTAATACATATTTTCATAATTCTGTTAGCTGTAATGCAAACGGGCTGAGCAATGTTTGTATTAAAACGGTGGATCTCAAGTGACCCCTAGTGGGGTTATTTGTTAGGCATGTAGACCATTTTGCAATTCCAAAATGATTTTCAAATTAACGTGAATATCCACATATTTATCAATACATAGAAAATCGCACTTTTTGCATTTCAGATTAATTACTGCCAACAAGTGGCCCATTAAATGAACATGTCACGATTGGTGCCCCCTTGCAGTGGCGGATCCAGGGGGAGGGGGGGGGGGAAGGCAGCCCCGGGTAAAAAACGTGTAAAAACACGTTAATTTTAGATGCCCCCCCCCCCTGGCGCTCAAAGGGGGAGGGGGGGGGTTGTTTTTTCAAATTTTCGAGGGCCCCTCAAACAAATTAGTGCTCACTACCCCATCACTGAGCGAAATATTGGCCGGCACGATTTTCAATTTCAGCACACTAAATTTCAAATTTATTTCAATTTTGGCCCCCTCCCCTAAGAAATCCTGGATCCGCGCCTGCCCCATTGGTACCCATTAATACCCCGCACACCCCAAAAACACATCATTTGTTAGTTATCTTTTTTGTCGTTCTTCTTGTCCTTGATCTTGTTCTCCTTCTACTTCGTATTATGATCGTAATTTGTATTATTATTATCATTATGATCATCATTATTATCATCGTCATTTTTATTTTTAATTGCGTTCGGTGAATCTTGTGTCTCGACAGAAGCACCTTCAGTTATGACTGACTTCACGGACATGTCTACGATCATACCGGCCGAAATGGCGCAAGTCACCACCACGGACGGTGAGCATTTCATATTGTTCCCGTTGCACAGGAAGTTTCAATTTCCTGACGTAGGACCGTGTTATTTTAATCAAATCTAATCAAATCTAATCTAAATATTAATCTATAAGTATTATTTTATATACTGTGTCACCCTCATACGACGCGTCAAAGACGACACAGGTTACTAACGCAATCCTACGTCAAGTGAATGACACCTCCCGCTCAATGTCCGGCGTTACAACCGCTTTATGCCAAAGCGTCATTCTGTTGACGCATGGCTGCATCGGTGTTTAGTGCGCTGTTTGACGCACCATGGGAGAGTGACATTCAGGAATTGTCAACAAAATGAATAAAGTATGAACCATACAAGGGTCCTTTGGAATTACTGATTCACACTCTGTAGTCCTTATCTTTTGTTGCACTATATAGCAGCAATTAATGATCATAATAAAACGTAGATTATAGGCCATTTCAGTATAAACGTGTTTTTTTCTCTTATTGAGATGTTTTATTCAATCATTGTAAACCCTCCTAGTGCGCATTTTGGTATGATCCCTCCTCCTGTTACTTGTCAACTTAACATTTTCTTTACTAAGTTGTGTAAGTTTCTTGTTCAGGGCTCTCATCCACTACGTACGGTGCTCAAAGAAATCCGATATTACCTAGGTTATTATTTCTATTCGCTATGCTAGCGGTTCCGGAGCTCACAAAATTCAAGAGGTTCTTTCCTTAGAACCAGTCAGGTGCCAATTTGTTAAACCTTGTCGAATACATGACTGATTTAACATGCAAGACATGATATCTCCCTGTGTCGGAAGTAAACTTTGTCCAAGGAATAAGATGTAAGTACCAAGCACGGATCGAATCCGTGACCTTTTCCTGTGAGAGGCCGGTCCACTGAAAGGCAATTCTCTCAACTACGACACCTTTGTATTTCGTATCAGTTCCTAGCCTACCGTGTGACTGTGCTGAGATTCAGACTGGTGGACTATCCCATCTCAGTGGAGTATATTCCATCTATCCCGATGGAGTTGTTGATGATCCTCTCTTGGTTTACTGTGATATGGAAACAGACGATGGCCGCTGGACGGTGAGAAACGATTATAGCTAGCTTTTCATTTCGTATTAACCCCATTCAATATTAAAATAAACGCAAAGACCTTCTAGAAACAAGATGATAACTATTTTCGACAAATCAACCTTGCCCTGTGCGTCATCTATTAAATGCAGTATTACGTAATCCGAAAAAAAAATCTTTATGAAATATAGTTTCATTGACTTTTCAAAAGTGGATTGTGTTAAGAATCAACTCTAGGGCAATATATACCATATATCCCATTTCATTCATCAACATTTTTCACTCTCCACCTTGGTGTTAACGGGTACCTGATGCTTGCTGGGGTATATGGAAGGGCCCTCATGAAGAACAGAATCGATATTGGTTATTGATTTATATATTTTATTTTTTAGTCTTTACCATCGCATTCTTATTAGCCTCAAATCTAGACTGCGTATCCTTGTGACTGGAGCGAAATGTGGTAACATCCACTCTTCTTCGTGTTGCTACACTTTTCAAAAGTAATTCCATAAACATAGCATCTTCCATTCTTCTTCTCTCAAGTATTATTAATCTCGAGAAATTTTTCTCATTCTCTTCCTTTCTCCCGATAAATTTCTATCTTACTCTTTTTGTGTTTGTTATCTTTCCCCCTCTTCCTCCCCCTCTCTCTGTAGGTCTTCCAGCGTAGACAGGATGGTTCAGTTGACTTCTCTCTATACTGGTCCGAATACAAATCCGGTTTTGGCAATGTTTCCTCCGAGCACTGGCTCGGTAACGACAACATCCACCGTCTCTCCCGTAATAAGACATACGAGCTACGGATCGACCTCGAAGACTTCGATGGAAAAACGCGTTATGCCACCTACAGCAATTTCAGTATTGCAGACGAGGCATCAAAGTACACCCTGGCCCTTGGCAACTACTTCGGAGACGCAGGTATTTAATAGGGCGACCCCCTCCGATGTGTCGTGTACATGATGTTATTCACAAATATGGTTTCGTGTATCACTAAAGGCCCAGTCACACAAAGGGGACGCTTGAGTGTCGCACGGCCCGCGCATTGAAAATGTTGAATTTTTGCCAGTGTGTTGTCGTGCGTTAGATGTGCGTCATCCTTCGTTACTCGTACTTCGAGTGCGCTGGACCAACGCTGGACCAACGCTGGACCAACGCTATGCATTCGTCGTCATTCGCTGTGTGCGTTGGGATTTTTTGTGCATGCTCAAAAGTGTGCGCGGAGCTCGACGTATGAATGTAACCGCCGAAAGGACGCCAGACATATGCGCGGAGCGCGCTAGACCAAAGCCAGACATACGCAGAACACAAGCCCTGTATACGCGCAGCGCTAGCAACACGCTATGCATTCGGTGTCATCTCGCTAGCTTCTTCCAAATCCTGATAATGCGCCGGCCGTGTGTCGTCTTTGTTTGACTGGGCCATAACGTTATTAAACAGTCAGATCAATTAAGGCGTTTGTTTTCCGTTTTGTTTGTACATGAAATAAATGGAGGGGGGGTGGTGATTTCGTTTTAGACACATTGCAATGCACGGAATCACCGCAACAGGGTTCTGCAGGATATGTTTTACGGTAAGACGTGTACAGTAGACTAATTATACGGTAAGGCCTAAAATAAAAACTTGTTGTATTGCCGTTTCGTCGCCAAAACATGGGTCGGTCGGTCGGATTTTTTTTTTTTTTAAACCTTTTTTTTGTCGCCCTCTTTGGGCGGAAGTTTTTCAGATTTGAATGTTTTTGTGTTTTTTCTCGTTTTTTTATCGCCCTCTTTTGGCTGATATTTCTCAGTTTTTAATGCTTTATTACATGAGTTTCAGCGTCATCATTCCATTGACATGTTTTTCAACTCATAATTATCCATGGTTTGTACGAGTGAGAATTTTTGAATAATTGGATTTTATGCATATATATTCCATTTAAAGATACAAAATACATATTTTGTTTAATGCATTGATAAAAACAAATCTAAAAAACGATCAAAAAAAAATAAAAAATTTAAATGCCGACTGTAGATTTTCAGATTCTTGGGTCGGTCGCAAAGGGCAATACAAGTTTTTATTTTAGGCCTAATGCAATAAACAGGCAAATGCAACAATTCGGTAATATGGTTCATTGTAATACGGTCACAGGCCTTATGCCAGCACGGGTGGCCAACCTTTTAAGCTCAGGGCCACAGCTAACGATTGGCATAACCTCGGAGAGGGGGGGGGGGGGGACTCACATATTGAGACATACGGGGAGGGCCGCTCTAATGGGTAACTTTTTTTTTACAAATTATCCTTCAACATGGGTCCCATTTTTAACAAAAATACCCTATACATGGGTTTGACTTTTCAAATTTTTTTTAATTAAAAAAAAAATAAATTAATTCATGGTTTTTGCCATGCAATCACCCAAATTTAAAGAAAATGGGCTTAAATTTGAGAAAATATTCCGCCATAATGACCCTTAAAGGTAAAGACCAGTTTTGGAAACGTACCCCTCTGAAAAAATGAAATGGAAGCTTTTATTACCAATCATGTGAAAGAATATGTTTTGACTAATACGTGATCTTGCAAATTTTGCCGAGAAACCGCCTACTAATTGATATATTTTGTAAATTATTATATCTATTTGGACCTAATAGATATAACGCACATGTCGCGCATGTGTCGCATAGTCCCATATATATATATATATTTCTGTGTACAGTGCTTGTAACTTTTCCAAGACTGGGCCAAATTTCTTATCATTTTGATGATTCCAGAACCTTGCAGTACACCAATACTTATATGCTAGATGATCAACCTTTCTAATCGATTCCACAACGTTTCTTTCACAGTGCAATCGCATGACCATAACTGGTCTTTATCTTTAAAAAATGGGTAGAGGTTTCGAGGCCTCTAAACATTTGAGAGAATTATAAAACAGCAAAATTATAAATAAATCCAGAAATTGCGATCACCTTTACAGCTACTATAAATAGACAGATACAGGTACACTTCCACTCACACACAGAGATATTCACACTCCCCCTTTGTTTGGAATATTTTTTAAAAATCAATTTGTTCAATAGTATTTGTTTATTGATTCCAAACAATACACATAAATTTTAGAATTATTATATAGTTGTTTTTCCCTGACACGAATTAAAAACAATTTCAATACATAGATTGTACAATCAATGAAAACAAAAATGAAATCAGTTGTAACATAAAACAATAACCCCATCCAACCAAACACACTACTACCCCCCTCCCCACTATACAATTCCACCACACACTGTTGCTAGCCTCATCAGAATACCCCGAATTGCATACCAACACTCACACACATACCAACACACGCACACCCACACACGCTTACACACACATAACCATATGCCGACAGTTAAGAGATAATAAGATAGATGATATAGAGTACAATATCATTGGGAAAGAATACATAGCAAGAGAAAGAGAGAGAGAGAGGGGGGGGGGGAGTCAGTATTACAGCAGAAAATAATTAGAATGAGTAGGCATGGTAGAGAAATGAATTAAGATGGTGAAAAGAAAAGAGAAAGAAAGAATTGTAGGATTGGAGAGAGCTCATGAGATAGGAGAAAAAAAATTCGAATTAATTAATACATTTTATATATCTACTTAGCACGCATTAATATTGGTGAGATATAATCTTTTTATAGAAAATTTGAATTTTGAAAGAGTTGAGCTTTGCAGAATACTTTAATCAAGGCTGTTCCTCAATTTGATATATTTTACACGGAATGAGTTTGAGGCCATAAAAGTGGAAACCTTAGGTTGATAAAAAAGAAACCTTGCATAATGCTTTTTGCAGAAGCAAAGTTACCCACCCGCAAACACGCGCGCACAAATAATCGTTGATATTTGGTATGTGTGGCATGATTATTTTGTTAGGGATGTTATTTGGATTTGCAATGGCCGAATCAATACACAAATCCCAATTGTGTTATTCAAACATCACATAAGCAACTTTGGCGCAAGTCGATTTTTGCACTCTTGCTTACAATGCCTGCTGTTCTTCCAAGCGTGAACACATACAACACAGAAATGATACTAAATGATTCGGGGTAAAAACACTTTTTCATAAGATGTATAATAATTTACTGTTCATAGATAATTCTTTTAATAATTAGCAACTGTCTAGGTGTAAACTTTTTTTTGACTCACACTGTATACAGTAGACACAGCATTCACCAACGAATGGACGGACGGGCGGCTTCATAAAATACAAACACACGGCCTCAAGTCGAGTAAGGAGAGATCGTATATTGAACTAATTTATATCATGTGAATACTATAAATCGATTTCTCATTTCTATGCAGGTGACAGTATGTCGTATCACGCTGGTGGTCTGTTCAGTACACGGGACCGCGATCATGATAGAATTTTATATGGAAATTGTGCCAGTCATTATAAAGGAGGCTGGTGGTACAAAGGATGCGGTTCTGCTAACCTCAACGGCCTGTACCTGAACGGTTCAACCACAATTGCGCAGCAATCAGGCAAGGGTGTGTTCTGGAGTCACTGGCTCGGTATTAGACGCTCCCTCAAGAAGACGGAGATGAAGCTTCGCCCGACGTAAATAACACAAGCCTGATGTGATAAGAAGGTGTCGGATTTACGCGGGGTTTGAAAGCGCACTTAAGAGCATCGCACTTTACATTTTGTATTTTATCACACACAGCTTCTCAGCTTTCTTCACTTTGATAAAGATAAAAGTTCAAGCACCCTCAAAACAGTGTTTCTCATATTCGTATCAGTTTAATATGAAGGAACTTACGCCGTGTTGCTGTAATAAGTGTTCACGGATATTCACTTAAATAAAGAAAATAATCCTACATTTTCGAAGGTTATTCGCGGATTGAGCACTCTACTCTTTCTTACGTACGTTTAAAATATGCATTTAAAATACTGATCATCATATATATTTACATCAATTTACATTTTACACATAATATAACAGACGAAAGTAATTAAATGAATGGTCATATCCTTAGCATTTCTTGAATAATTCGTCAATAAAAAACTTTGCTTATTTGCTATGTAATATTGTATTTTTTAAAAATTAATAAACAGACTTTTACTATTTTACTCTATAACATCATTAAGATTTTGGATATACATTATGTATATTACGTATTGGCCTCGATTTAACATTAAGTTTTATATTAATATTTATCAGCTTATGAAAGTAATTATAACATAAGTTTTCAATAATTTTCCTAAAAATTCGATCCTTATAGAATACAATCCAAAAAAACATGAAAAGTTGTTTCTGTTTCTATATATCAAACTGTTCATTGTCTAATAAACGCCATCTGCACAGATCCTGTTTAGATTTCATTTCACTTCATTTATTTATTTAAACACGGTAACTCTCTCAGCCTAAACGGTTGTTTTTCAGAATCTTGAACATTGTTACTACTAAAATATAAACACGTATCGTCAGCATACATTAATACCTTAGAACTCTTCACTGCAGTTGGTAGGTCGTTCACATATATTGAAAAAAGCATGGGTCCTACAATAGTACCTTGCGGTATTCCGCATGTAAGTTCCTTAGAATTCGAGCTTATACCAATCATTGTAATAAATTGCTTTCTCCTTCAAACCTTCAAACTATTTGGTAACTTTTTCAGACATACCGATTAAACGTATTTTTGACAGAAGGATGTGATGATAACTGTAGTCAAATGCTTTTTGTAAATCGAGCATAACAATCCCTGTTGTGCACCCTTTGTCTATAATATCAAATAGATCTTCTGTGATATTTAAAAGTGTAGAAGTCGTTGAGTGCATTGGCCGAAACCCTGACTGATTATCACAGAGTAAGTTGTTGTCATTTAAAAATATAAAATATCTGCTTGAAAACAATTTTTCTATCACTTCTGCTAGTACGAGAATAACCGATATTGGTCTGTAATTGCATTTTTCTTATTTACCTCCCTTTTTTATATATGGGAGTTACACGTGACAATTTCCATCGAAGCGGAACAATTCCTTGAGTCAAGCCCATATTTATAATATGACACATTGGTTTGGCAATATATTGAGAAATCATCTTTATAAACAATACTGGCCCTCATCTGGCCCTGTAGCCTTTTTGACAGAAATGTCTTTTAATTCTTTTTAGTGCTTTCGGAAACATCGGCAAAATTGAATTCGCCAGCGGAAACATCAAAACAATAATTTTTTAAACGTCATATCTGGATAAGGACAAGTTTGTTGGGCTTGTATATTTTTACCTACTGAAACGAAATAGTCATTGAATTCATTCAAAATTTGTTTATGGTCATAGATAATTTCTTCATTGATAAGTAAATGTGGAATGCTATTGCAGACTTTCCTCTTATTAGGTAAGAATTGCTTTTGTAGGATTTGTCAATATCAACGTCATCTTTTGACTTTTTGGCAGTGTGTTTAGCAGCATTTTTCTCTTCAATAAAATGTAGGATGTTTTGATTAATCCATTTTGATGTTTTATTCTTGATTCTCATTCGTTTTATGGGTGCTATATCATTTAATATAGAATTCAATTTACTCTCAAATGCTCCATACGCCTTTTGGGGGGCAAACATAATCTTTTATACAAAGATAGTGTGCAATACTTCAAATTTACTCATTAGCTCATACTGTTATTAGTATCATTATCACAATCATCAATGTTTTGTAGAAAACGTACTTCAGAGAAAAGAATATATGTAGATACATTTTGAAATATTTGTTTTACGGACATAGTTATCGCATTCTTTTCATATAAAGTAACAGTCAATCTACGAGCCATCAATTGTAAATAGACATACATTGATGATGAAATAATATTGAATTAATATTAAGTATCGATGTCCATGCAGCCCAATTCGTTTTTTAAAACTTATATCAGAATGTAAGAAGCACATTTTATTCATATTAAATTATTTTATCTCATATTAATAATATCTCGTTTATATGTTCATCTTTGTTCTTACACTTCTGGAATTCTCAACAACATCTCATTCTTTTTTCAACCATTTATGAGTGATAATTGTAAGATGATTAACTCTAAAAGAAGACATATTTAAAAAAAATACCAAGAGAAAAAAAGGTCATGGGATGGAAAACAAAAGAAACAAGTACACAATCCTAGGACACGTTGTGCAAGTAATTGTAATACTTCCCTTTTATAGTATTGTCTTATTTCAGTTTGTCCAATACTAATTTAATTTCTTTTGATAAACATCATATAGGTAAAGCAAAACGTGCATCCAATGAATAAAAAGTGTGAGTGTGTGTTTGTTTGTGTGTGTGTGTGTGTGTGTGGGGGGGGGGGGGCTAAGGAACAATATTTGTTTTCCTCTCGAAAATTTAAAAATCGCACCCCCTATTTATTCATTGAATACACGTAATAAAGGTAACATTAATGTGTTTTTACCTGTTTCCCCCCCATGTGTGTCATATGTGAATCTAATTCTAAGATATACAGCGAGTCTAAAAAACGGTGAACTGCTGTGTTTGTTTTTTACAGACGTATATCAATCAGATATGATTATTTACGTCTGGGGACCGACCTTTAAAGTAGATATTCATTGATTTTAAAAACTAACTTTATTTTCATTATTGCAAAGTTTTAACGTTGATTCGACAAGGTTATCAAATATTCGAAGTAATGATTATTATAAATTACAAAACGCTTAGATACAGCCCCGGCATAGCACCTGAAGACCTCTCCGAACGCTGCTGAGATGTGTGAGATCACAGGATGGACATGATTCTCACAAGCAGACGATGTCCCATGACATCTCACACATTTTCAGTGCCTGTTTTTTTATCTTCTCTTGAGTTCTTTCTCTTACTTCACTACCGTCAGGCTAAATGTTTAATCTATTGCCTCACTCTAAACCCCGCGCATGTTTTTATTTTGATGACAAATGCAGCAATACAAAAATAAAGGAATCTGTCGCTTATTAACAAAATAAGACGCCATTGTATATTCAGCTGCACACACCGCGGTATGTTCGGCGTTTCAAGAGGGAACAAATGCCGTCCTTAATATCATTCCGAGGGGTTTTCAATTTGAGAGTCTGGTTTCTTTGATTGTTAATTAATCCCTGTCATGTTTATTTACCAGCAAAAGGCTTTAACTTATTAGAATCGGTTTCATATCCCCTTTTGAATGGTTTAAAATGCCATCACATTTATATACACTAAACTCATTATAATTTGAGAAATAATAGCTTTGCAATTATGTTCATTCTTTATGAGATGTCCTCTGCTTGGGCAGTATTGGTCCATTATGTGACGTCATTAAAAACATTGTTATTTTTCTGACGAATCTCTCGTATATCCCAGATGCTATGGAGGTTGTTGTATTTGTATTTTTTTTTATAAACAATCCGGTATGTAGTTGACCTAAAACTTGTACGATAGCCATCTGTTAGCTTACCAGTTTCTAGTGATACATTAGTTGACATATTTGTGATTTTCTTTGAATTTCCAAAAGACGTGACTCACTTTCGAACCTGCGTCCTCTGCTGAATCAGTTTTTAAATTCCACTTTTAGCTGGATAACAGACGCACGCCACAACTCCCCGTTGCTTCCTAAATCAAAAAAAAAAAATCAAAAGCATCGAATTGTTTGGTGTCAATTAAAAGACATAAAGGAAATGATTAAAAAATGACTGGCAGCTACTTACTTTATTTTAAACGTCCCTGTTCCTTTCTATCTTATTTTGTTTCTCATGTTCAACCTTTGTTTATTCATCGTCAATTTTCTTTCTTTGACATTTATTGAGAGTATCTTTTTCTTATGAACAGAAATTTATTTCCTATGTGCCACTGTTCCCGCTTCCAAGTCACCTTCTAGTAGTCATTGATAACACGATAAATATCTCGACAAATAACACAATGATAGATTTGCAAGTAAGATATTTTATTGACATATGTTTAGTACTTATCATGTTTATAATCAGTATAGGTAGTTCTAATAACTAGAGAAATGTTTTCTTCCAGCGAACGACCCTTTCGTTCCGAAATGTTTGGTCCCCGTAAAGGGGTAGTTGAGTTCTGTTGCAGAGGGCGCTAAACGAAACAACTTTTTGGTGAGATAATGAAAAACTGATTTTAAAATTTGAAAGAACCTACAATTTAAATGAGAAAATCATATTTGTTTGATCAAAATCGGTTCAGAGACGGCTGAAAAATCCATAAATATAACAATTTCTAATATTTGTGTACCACCACACACTAAGTTGAACCAGCCGTTGAAAAAAACGAAATAGCGCCTTATACGTTTTATTCGAGCCAAAGCCGAAGTTTTTTGTTTTTGGCTTTTTCGTGTTGTTTAAATACGCACAACCAGCCGGCCCATGTATTGTTATTATTAATAAATTGATTAATTAACGGTCATCATAATTTTTTGAAAGTACAGCTGAATTGGAATGATCGTACTGGTTAAATTTCACACATTCAGGGGTCTAAAATTAGCTCATATCAATTTTAGGTTCTAAAAGGGCATTAGAAAAGGCATAAAATAAGAGTAAGAGCAATAACCATACAATTTGAAGGCATTTGCGGTCTGGAACAAGAATTCAACTTTCGTTTATGGACACATAGTTTATAAAATCTTAGTTTAATTGCTAGGTTGAATATGAGGATAAGGCAAAATAGAAATTGATTTCCATACAGTCCTGTGTCTTAGAAAGTGATACAAAAAAAACGAGAGGAAAAAACTTTGGGAGGGAGATAGATGTAGTATGAGAGTGAAAAATAAGTAAAGAAAGCTCGGTGGGAAAATGAAATCGAAATTATATAGAAAGTGGAATGGATTTTAAAAAGATGTAACAGCGTTTTCGCTTGGAATGTACTGAAATTGAATTGGATTTTTCGGAAAGCTTTCAAAACATTAGAGAATGAGAGAGAGAGAGAGAGAGAGAGAGGGGTGGAAACGTGACACTTTAAAGGAATAAGAGAAACTTTAGAAACAATAGTGCAGATCAAGTGTGATATGGAGATTAAAAAGGCAAAGAGGGGATATAACGAACATAATTTCAAAGACGAGAGGAAGAAAAAGAGCCTTAAAAAACGGTACGATAGACTCAAACGATTGAGAAGATGATTCGATATTAAAAACTTGTGGAAACGTGAGATTTTAATTGAGAATCTATTTGTTGTAGCTATCCCTCCATGCATACACGACTTCGTGGACTTCATCAAAGACAGGATTGAGACGATTCTTCACACGATCTACGTAGGCTTTGAGCTTAGGTCGCCCCTCTGTGACATCTCGTCCATTTATGGTATTCTGCATCATCTGATCGGTGAGATATAAAGAAAGGGACGCAAGTTTCCGTATGTGGCCTTTGCTCATTAAAAATATATTCACGAAAGGAATGTTTTGATACATTGTTCATTTCCTATTAATAAACCTTAGTTCTTTTTGACAAAAACACATAGATATAATTAGCATCGTCAAGATATAATTATTTCGTCATTTGCAATGAGAATTGTTCAGCGACGACTGTCAGATTGACAAATACATAGCGAGAAAATGTTAGTGTGGTTATATTTTGATATACGAAAAGCATAAATAATACAACATTTTTGATATTTAATATCTACAAAAATCGTTTTATTCCCGGATTTACAGTTTACAGCCATTTTATGTCGAATCCCTAAATTCAATCGTAAAAATAGAGAGGGCCCTAGAAATTAACAAAAAAGATATTCGTCTTTTAATATACAGCAAATACTAATTTACAAGAATTTAAATTGATTTGATTTGATTTTATTGATTTCTTTATCATATTTCAACATACATATTCTGAACATACATAGGCGTACATACATAATGTCCATCAGTGTGAATCTATGTGAATTTGCGTTATTCTATATTGTACTGACGAGATACACAGAAAAATACGGGGATGTATTACATCTACACAACATAGTTTCAGTTATAATTAATTCGTTTATAATCTAATATTATCATATCCTACTTCATGTTTAATCCAAATAATATCACTTCCGTTTGACTTACCTCGGGGACGGCGAGCATGTCAGCGACAGAGATATCATCTCCAGCCAACCAATCATTATCCCGCAAGAAAGCAGTCTCGAGCTTGTCTAGTTGTTTGGTTAGGTTTTCTTCGTCTCTTTTCAACCTTTCTTCTGATGCGTGCTGCTTACCTCCGGTAAACAACGGAATGCCGACCTAGAAGGACGCAAATGACTTAGTTATATCGCATAAGGAAACATTCATCATCACAAATTTCCCTCGCCCGAAGATTTTAAGAGTGGCACGGGATATATCTTGGTAGGACGTCCAATTCGCTGTGCGCGAGACATATACACCCATTTATGATAATTCCACTATTAAGTCCAGTATCATCGAATTATGACACACAGAAAACTGTTGTCGATTCCACACACAGCTCGTATGAGCGCGGTGTGTGTACCATCTCTTTGTCTCTACTCATCGCGCGATCCCCCAAATGAGAGGAAAGGCAAGAACTACTGTCAACGTTTAGGGTGTGTTATTTTATCAGCTGATTCGGCGCACGACACGGACACGGTACAGAAGCTTGACTAGGAAACCTGCCGACCGAATCCCTTTCAGGAGCCACACCCAAAACCATACCAAGCCGTTGGTATGGTATTTTAGGGCCCTGAATTAAAACCATGAATTCGACTCGTGTAAAATAAGGCATTTACTGCGGAGCAATATCAAAGAAACATTTGTCATGAGATCAGGCTAGTATCACATAATGCTACTCTCTCACCTCACTGGCGAACATCCCAAAGCACGCGCCTCTGGTTCCTGTATGGTGAAAGGCCATGTATTCATCAACTCTGGCTCTTTTCTTTAGGTCCTTTGGGTACCAGTGGTCTGGGACCAGGTCCGCATACTTTGTTGCCAAGTACCGAATGATCGCCACGCTGTTTAATCATGAAGAAAAACATTTGATGTTAATTGTAATGAAATTCTGTCTAAATTTTTCTTCTTCTGTTTTGTTTGTTTCGTAGCATACTATTTTACTCATGTACATGTGGTCTGGGACCAGGTCCGCATACTTTGTTGCCAAGTACCGAATGATCGCCACGCTGTTTAATCATGAAGAAAAACATTTGATGTTAATTGTAATGAAATTCTGTCTAAATTTTTTTTCTTCTGTTTTGTTTGTTTCGTAGCATACTATTTTACTCATGTACATGTACATATCCATGCATGATCAGTTACAAATGAAATGAAACGGATCGATTCGAACATATGATCACGTAGTTTAAGCTAAGAGAGATAATACAAAAACTTTCCCCCATATTTCTCGCATTTCTTTTGGTTACTCTTTATACTCTTATAAAAACTATTGATTTTAAATGCAATCACTACCGAATGTAATTTAGATTTGTAAAAAGCTTCAGCCACAAGTTCCTTTTGAGATGACGATGAATCAGATCCGAACGAATTTCCAATTCTGATACGTTTTCCATGAAAAACATTACTGATTTCTTAGCTATTACCTAATTTGAGCTAGCTCTTTCATCCCCGATGATTAATTAACAAACATAATGTATGATTTAAGGGTGTTACTGATATCTAGAAATTCAGAAAGAGGACTGAAGCAGTT